GGGTGTTGAGGCACAGAAAAATGGTCAGTATGCATAAACATAATACAAAGAGTGGCAGGAAGTCAAGTGGGAGAGTTGGGCAAGGCAAGGCACAGGAGGAATTTGGACTTAGGAAGCTTCTGATATATCTGTGTTTTTGAAAGTTCACTTTGGATGCTATACGGAGTTGTAATCCAAAGGACCACATTTTGACAGGAAGATTAGCAAAAAGGCAGATTCCAGCCAAAAGGTGCTAGAAGCTTAGGCTAGAGTGGAGACATGATACACTATTAGACAGGATGTGTCTTGGAGGGAAGCAGGATTCACATGGAAGGAAAAAGAGGAATGAAAAATCATAACTCCTTCCTAGATTTCTATCCTGAATAAGAGGTGGATATTGACATTACTCACTGAGATGGGGGTGAGGATAAGCAGGATTTGGGGAGTGCTGTGGAAGGTAGGGTGAAAGAGTAGTTTATGCATTAGTGTTCTTCCTGCTTGATAGGTGTGTGAATGGACATAATTAGAAGGTAATTGGAAACAATGTAGAATTAACTAAAAACAAACAAACTATTTAGAATACTGGTGGTCAAGGGTAGTAAACTTGGAGACTCTTGTCATCATTGAAAACCAGTAACAGGGTGTACCCATGCCACATGACCTGGGGGAGTTTCTCGTACAGGCAGTGGAGTGAGGAGGTTATCGGTACTTCTCAAACTTGCATGCACTTGGAATCTCACAGAGGAGCTATACAAACTCAGGCTCCATGGTAGACCAGTTAGTCTCTCTTTTGGGAGTGGGATGGGTGAGAGGCATGAGTAGTTTACTATATGAAGTTCTCTAGGTGAGTCACAGGTGACAGCTGGATTAAATAAAAGAAAGGGAAGGCTTGCTGATCCTGTGTGGTGGCATCCCTGGAAGGGGTAGGGATATATCTGAGGAGAATGAGAGGCGCCTTGTCTTTCAGGCACAAAGGAGGCAGGAAGTGAGAGAAGGCCAGGTGTTAGAGCTGTGAGAATGGGAATCAGCACCAGCAGTGGGAGACCAAGGCCATTGATGTATCTAGCACCAGTGACCACTGTGTGAAAGAGTATTATCCCCCTCCAAAGAGCAAGAGGGTGACTTTTTACCCATTTGCTTCTTCCTGACAAGCTAGGCACAGAAGTTCTTCAGCCTGAGACCAGGCTCTGATGGCAAATGTCCAACTGACATCTCCCTATCTCTAGGAATCATGCAATCTGGGTGGGCAAAATTATTTACAGAAAATCTTAACTATTCCTATTTCTGACATTCTGGCAATAGCTTTTATTATGTTACTCAGCATTATTAAATTTAGGGTGCAATGGAGTGGAGTATGATTTGATGTGAAATATTTCAATATGTGTGTTTTGTCCAATAATTCCACTTTAAAATGTATTTAAAGATTGTGTGTGTGTGTGTGTGTGTGTGTGTGCGCAAGAATGTTCATCACAGAAAATACTTGCAAAGGAATGCTGACGCAATTTGTTTTTACCATATAGGCGTTATAAATCACTTCTTTAAAATCACAGTACAAGAAAATACTACACAACGTGATGTATGAAAAGCAGGTATAAAACATGACTGTTTTGTAAAATAAACATTGGGTATAAATATATAAAACTTTTAAAAGCAGTACATGCTGACTGTGATTACGGTCAACTTTAATTTTCTTAACATTTTTTCTTAAATTTCTTTTCTCTCCTTTTAATTTTCTTAACTTTTCAGTTCAGACCACCTATGGTTTCAATAAGAGTTGGAATAGTGTTTTAGAAGTGATTGATAAATTCTTAATTTTAGATCGGTTCATGAGTTTTATTATCTTTCTCTGAATTTGGAGTAAGACTATCTGCCTCTTACAGATACCCTAAGAAACAAATTAGATAACCTTTGGAAATCATACTGTGTAATCCCTTGTTCATACTAGTTTTTCCAGAATTCAGTATTGCCTCAACTTCTAGTGAACTTTGTTCAGTGGAAGTTTTGTTTTTCGTTTAACATTTTGTTAGTCTAGATTAGCATGCTAAAGTAGATGTAAGATTCATCATTTGTGTTTAGCTCATTGGTACAAACTGGTGTTCTGGAAGGAGGAAGTTTAAATTGTCATGATGATCTCATTTCTCACTGTCAGTGAGCACCCTAGGGTCCAGCATCACTGTGGCTAAGGAGAAGTAAGGGGGGATGTGCTGGAGGCTGCAGGAAGGATTCTGAACCCTAATCAAAGGAGAGACAACCATTGGAGAAATTGTATGTTCTGGCCAGCACTCAGTGTGTTTCAACAGGATTGTGATGCTGGAGGCTGCCATAGCCATCCTGAGACCATGAAACCTTTAGTCTGAGATGAAGGGCCTGTTCATTGATGAGTCCATGAGCTGCCAAAGCAGCCAGAGACTGCCCACCTTTGGGTGTCTTGCTGACTCCTCGTTCACATAGTCACTCGGCATGTCTCTGATGGTCCAGTGCTTGTATACAGCCAGATGCATTACAGTTGACACTAGATGTGGATTTGACATTGGGTTCTCCTGTAACAAACAGAAAATTGAGAAAAATCTTTCATGTGTTTTTATATTTTAAGCATCTATAAGAGCAAAATTATTTTAATGTACTTCTTCCTGTAAATGGCTAGCTGACTTGGCAAAATAATTTCATTTGCTGTTCATGCAAATTTACTGCTGAAATTTCCTGCAGAAACCAAGCCAAATGAATTTGTGAGAGCTTGTGAATGTTAAACAAGTATGTTGCATGTTGTAAATTTGCAGGACTCCATACCCAACATTAGGCCATCCAGTGTGCTCATCCATGCTAACAAGGCTGTTTCTGATCCTGCTGGGCACTGATGGTTACTGTCCCTGAAAATTTTGAGTTTGTATAAAATATATAAGTTATTTATGGTTTGACGGTATAGAAATCTACAGATATATGCTATCATCAATTTGCTTGTATGCTTTGAAGGTGTAATTTAACAAATTTTGCTGCCCTGGCAGTAAATGTTACAAGTGACAGGTAAGTTTCTTGGGTAATTTGAGAAAGTGCAAAACATGATGATATGCAGGGCATGTGGTGTTATTTATCTGTGAATGTAACTGAAATGCTGGCATATTTTTCAGTTAGAAGTAGTAATGACAGAAAGTGAGAAGTTTCAGAGAAGGCTTTGGTGGAATGTTTTTCCCCTTAGGTTTAACTAAGGTTTTCACTTATGTTTAATAGGTATTCAGCAGTGATCTCATGAACACAGCTACATACTTAGGAAAATGGAAAAGGTTTATTGATTCTCCTTGATGAGGGCAGGACCCCTGGTGGAGAAATCCTAAGGGAGAAAGAAGTGGGAATGGGAGGTATAGAGTGAGAATAACATAACAGACTGTCACAGGGTGCCAATGTGTCCTAATGACTGGTAGCTGTGGTCTGTGGGAGCTGAAAGTCTGTGTTCACTGCTGTTATTGCTGCCTCATGCCCGGCCCCTCCCCCAAAGCAGGAAGCAGGAAACAGGAAGGAGGCCAGCAGCTGTGCTTCCAGCATCAAGAAGGACGAGAGCCAGTGAGGCTTGTGCCAAAAACTGGGTCAGTATGTGCAGTTTCTTACAAGGACTATTGGCATTGTATCAATAAAATATCTAGTTTATTTTTTTATTTTTTTTTGGTACTGGGGATCGAACTCAGGTCCTTGCGCTTGCGCAGCAGGCAATGAAACCACTGAGCTAAATCCCCGGCCCAAATATCTAGTTTATATATACTGATGCTTCCCCAGTAGGTAGTAAAAATACAGTACACTAGGTCTTAAGCAGAATCTTTGACAAAAGTCAGTTAAGTCTAAAAGTTGTAACAAGAGTTTAGAGGAGGTGTGGGGAGGGCTAGTCTGTTTCAAAAATCACGAGTTTTACAGAAAGCACGCAGGTTGATTGCTAATGGGCACACCTGGACCATGCCCTTGACTTCAGTGTTTATTCTGCCTATCAACAGTCCCAGGAGGTCATGTGTGTGTGTGTCCTTGTGTCTGGTTAACTTCCACAGTGAGGCTGGATTTTAGACATCATAGGATTATAGTTACTGAATGAAGAGGACTTTAATGAAATTTGCAAAAGAGTCTCTGCATGTCTTGTGAATTTTCTCACTGATCATTAGATGACTGATCTCACAGGGCACCTTATTATTCCCTTTTGCTCACAGGTGGGATTCTCACTCAAATTTCCAAGACCAAGATTTTCTTCCTAAATAAAGGAAAAGGAAAGAGTTTTCTGGGAGAAATAGTCAGGAACCAGGGAGGAGGTTCCAGATGTGCTTGGTTCTAAGGGAGCTCTAGTTTTATGCATTGAGTGCGATTCCCCTGGCTGTATATTGAGGTCCTCACCCTTAATTGACAGCATCAGGAAGTGAGGCCTTTGGATGCAAGTTGGTGGTGAGATTGAGGCCTCTTAAAGGAGTTATCATCCTTTTGAGAAGAGACCCGAGAGCTTGTGAATCTCTGTTTTTGGCTGTTTGAGGATAGAGGGACCAGGCAAGTGTCTGTAAACCAGAATGGGAGTTTTCAGAGACTCTCCAGGACCTTGACCTTAGATGTCCCAGAGTCTCCACAAATATGAGAAATAAATGTTTGTTGCTTACACTACTCAGGCTATGGCATAATGATTATGGTTGCTGGTGCTAAGACACCCGGACAACTTTCAGAGGGAGATGCTTTGATGGCAGATAGGACTGGTGGTTTTTCCGGTGGCCACAGGGGGAGAGGGCATTTGTAAATCTGATAATTATAACCACTACCTGTCTAGCTTTAAAATCTTCACCAATGGAGAGGAAGTGCCAAAGGAAGCCAATAAAAATAGAATTAATGCTGACTTATCTACACTCTACTAAGTATTTTCTAAGAACTTGTCATGGATTGTCGACAACATCTCGTTTAATTCCCCATCTGGTCCACTGGGCCAGGTATTATTATTAGCATCTTTACTTCACTCGAAGGGAGCCTGCAGTGAAGAGTAGTTAAGTAACTGGCCTAAGTTATTGTCGCGTTCGCCTTTGACCAGCAATGACGACGCAACACCAACGCTCTTCTTCTAGCAGTTTATTCAGGAAAACTTAACATTCTTTTTCTTCTACCCCTGGGGAGCACCCGTCCCTAGAATAAGTACCCCTGAACCAACCAATCACGGATAGTCATGTGGCGAATGCGGATAGGTACACGTAAGAGGGGGCAGAGCATCAGACACATCACAGCCAAATAAGGAGTTGTTTATCATAAAGAGCTCTCGCCGTCGGGATGGCGGAAGGCGGAAACCAGCGCCATCTTTAAGGCGCGGCACACGCAGCTCTCCACAAGTTATCCCCATCGTGATAAAGAGGAGTCTTGTTTTGTAACCAAGGTAATAATTTAAAAGTCTCTGTCCCATTGCCTCGCACATACTTAGACTCCAAAAAGGTATTTGCACTATATATCCTACAGTAAATAAAGAAATGGGTATTTTTTTTCTTATGGTCCCAGAGCACCTGTTCTCCAGGCACATGTTCACCACCCAGCCTGTAGGTATGCAACACACAGTTGTGTCTCAGCATCCCCAGATAAGCAGCAACAGGGATAAAGCCAGCTGTTTTTCTCATACAAGATTAGGCACAAGCCATGTATGAGGCTGTTGTCTACTCTCGCTCATAGATGCCCAAGCAGTGGGTTAAAATGATAAAAGAAAACAATTAAATAAGCTGGTGTGAACATAACACAACCAACTTTCAGGAAGGAGATAAATGCTGCACGGAGCCATCAATCCACCCAAATTGCTGTCTCTGGTGTTTCTGTTTGTCTAATAGTGCTTAACCTTGGTTGAAAGATAAAAGTTTGCATAGAACCAGTATATCATATGGCCAGCATTACACAGCTTCGACACTCCAGTAAACCCATCTGGAGAGTTTAAGCCACCAGAGCTTGGCTGCCTCATTAGCTGTCTCTGAAAGGCCTTGGCCAAGCAATAGCACAAATCGCTGTTGTTCCAGGGTGATGGTGCAGAGTGAAAGAAAACAAACAGGTTCAACAGTGTTGTGCTTTGCATGTTAGAATCTAAAGTTACTTGGCTTCCCTAGCAGAGCATCGAGCCTCACACTAAATATTTATATCAGTTATTAGTGCTCCTTAGGAAGTGCTAATCAGAGAGGGGCATCGTAGGACCAACATAATGGACACAAATGCACCCACCTTCCAGACTCTAGGATGTACCTTCATAATTATTGCCATAAATGCGCATTCCTATGGAATCTGAGTTTGTATGGGTCCCAGTCCAGTCCTTGTGCCTTGTTTGAATCTCTGAACTATTCAGTAGCTGCCCAGTCTCTGACTTGAGTGAGAAGCTCACAGTCTCACATCTTCCATTCTGTTTCTAGGCGGTGCTAATACTTTGAAGTGCTGTCTCATTCTTATTCAAATTCTACCCTCTACCCATATTCTCTAGTCTGTTCTCTGGAGCCAAAATAATGAGCCTGTACTCTTTGTAGCAGACTTCAGACCTTTTCATCTCTAAAACAAATCAGTAGTTTCACCAACTTCTTTTCCTAGCTCAGACTTTCACGACTCACACAGCACTCTGATTACTCTCTTCAGAGGCAGAGCATCCCAGACTCTCAAGCTTGTAAATAATGTCATTCTTCAGCAAGACATCTTCTGTGAACCCCTTTCCTTATCTGTAAGATCAATACGTTGTCATACCTGGCTGAAAAGGGTCACTATAAAAATGAAAGAAAATGCTGATTAGTTATTGACATTGTTAGTTTCTGTTAATTGTTAGGTCTAGGACTGAACCCGAGGTCTTCCAGACCAGGGTCCATGTTGACTATTCCATGCAGGGTATTAGCAGTTCCTCCCCACTTTATATTCATGACTTTACTGTCATGCACCACTATCTAACTTTATCAAAGAAGGAAAGGACATTCATTTGGCCAGATTTCTTCATAATCCACATTGCTCTTTAGTGACCAGTTCTGCTTTTTTTTTTACTCAAGACCAACTCCTCATTTTTTTCTCTAGGTGATAGATTCCATCATTTTTCCTTGGTGTAAATCATCAGTTTTCAGAATTCCTTATAAATGCTCCAGGTCTCCCATTCCTCTGGGTCTGTGAGCTAAGCTGTGATCTGCAGATCCTCTGGCTAACTGATGTGTTGTTTCTTGGACCATAGACCTGAGTTAAGAGGGGTGAGGGCGAAGTTCTCTTTTGTTGGACTTCATTCTAGCCCTTTTCTACTCTGGAATTCAGAGAGAATTTTAAAGACAAATCTGCTTCACATCTGCTCATGTAGTTTATATAGCCTAAGCTGGAGATGGAAGAATGTTCTTGCACATGGAACAAAACTGAATAAACCACTTTGTTCTCTCCTATGCTTTCATCACAATTTTCAGGTCCTTCTGGAAGGTAGTACAGTTTTCTTGCTCTGTTCTCAAAGGCCATTATTACTAAGCAGGAGTCACTCTGTGCCAAGTTTTCAGGTTGTTTTCAGGTTGTTTTCATGTCCTTTAAAAAAAATCATCCCTTACTCTGTGGCTCAGTTTGCACTTTGAATATATTTTGCTGTGTTCTACAGTGGGATTATTTGTGATTGCATAATTAGAATTTGCCTTTTTAGAAGACTTTCAAATCACTTGGGCTACCTTTCATTATAGAAGTCAGACTTATATAAACATAAGTAGACTTTATAAAATATAAGGCTACAGAAACTTTAAATTTTTGGTTATATTTTTAAGGTGTGCTTGATCAGATTGACTTCTTTTGGAGTAAGCAGGCTTTTCTAGGTACACTCTGTGTCTTAGTTACTGCATCTATATAAAGCATGCCTCTTTATAATGCACCTACATCTTAAGGTTGTTAGAAGAATTAAGTGCATATTTCAACTCACCCAAAACTGAGTATTGTGGAACACTTAGAAGAGTGCCTGGCACATGTTCATTGAATGTTGGCTCCTCTTGCTCTTGGTATCATCAACACCATTTTCATTGAAAAAGAAAATTCCATTTGCAAAGAAAAAACAGAGTCTCTTCTTTTATGCCATATGTGGCCAAGTGTTTTTTTCCCCCATATGTTCTATTTCATCTTAAATCACAATTCATTTCTGTGAAGAGCTCATCTTTCACACAACTAATATTCTTGGGGACACTGTTTCAAATAGGGTACTGGAAAAGGCATTTTGAAGGAGATAGCATTTGAGAAAGCTCTAAGAAATGAGGGAAAATACTTGTAGGAGGAGGACCATGTTCATGTGAAGACCTTGACCTGTGAGCATGTGTGGCCTATGCAGAAGCACTGACTTGGTGTGGAGGAAAGGGGGAGAGATGACTGCTCATGAGGTCTGAGAGCAAACGTTGATGATAGCAAAAAAAGCCTTAGAAAATAATAGCTTTATATACTTTACTGGTTAGTTAAATTTTAAAATATATTTGTGTGTAAGTTTATTTGTATTTTCATTTTAAAAAATTACATCATGACACCCAGTATCAACTTAGTAGAAGGAAAAAAAAAAGAGATCTCTAATGAAACTATCCCTAAAGGAAATGATGCCACAGAAACTTTTTAAAAAATGTTTTTAAGAAAGGATGCACATTAATTGTATAATTGCACACATCACCTTTTGACTATGAATCAGGAGCTGTGCTGTACAGAATTACCTCTAGCTCTGAAGAACTCATCAGAACAGCCATTTAAATAATTTTAATAGTGTGGTTTCTCAGTTTGTATATCAAACTTGTAGACTTTTTGGTACCATTTTTTCGAAGTTTTCAGAAGTTGGAGATTAAAGTTTCATTTTGGATCATATCCTAGGCACTCTGATTTGTAAGATAACATAATGAAATGACTTTCAAAGAAAAAGAGGAACCAACATACCTAGCTGTGGTTTATTTGGGCTTTAGTAGGTACTTTGTTAGATAGAAGCCCTCTTTTATTCATTGGTGCTTAGATGCTCAATGTAATCTTCATTAACACACTAACCCACTGCTTACATTGTCTTAGTTACTTTGTTGTTGCTGGGATACAATACCCAACACCCAAAGTTAAAGGCAGAAAGGTTTATTATAGCTCAGTTCATAGAGGTCTAAGTCTGCAATTGGCTACAAGGCAGGGTGGCATCACAGAGGAGAAACAGTCTATGGCAGGCAGAAGGGAGCAAAGCAGCAAAGTAGCAAGCAGCCATAGCAGCCCTGTTTCTATCCCTTACATTCTATCCAGGAATGGGCTTTGCCATCTCTTCACACCCAGGGAGGCCTTCTGATTATCCACACCCAGAACTATGCCAGGGCAATCAGTGGACTAATTTAGTAATCACACACCCTTGATCCTACCGTCACACACTCTAGATCCAGCCTCCTCTGAAAAGCCAGTGACCACATGAGGCTTTAGGGAGACAGCTAGACAAGAGCTGTAACACACATCATTGCAGTTTCTTCCTAACTGTATGACAAGAATTCCACCTCAGCTTTGTGTTGAGAAGACCTCTGAGTTATTTGGTTTTTATCACATGTATGGAGTTAATTTTTCAGTTATATTTTGGTTGAAGAGCATCTTTCCTATATGTCATCATCTGATATAGCTACTGATACCATATTGTTTAAGTAATTTGATCTCTGGGCATAGCTCATATATTTTTCTGGTCAAACTAGTAAGACTTAAATGAGGCAATGCAAGGAGGGGCTTATTGAGTTGGTATTAGGGGATCAAATGTCCATACTTTCCATATTGCTTCCCAATACTCTATAACAGGTATAGAAATATACTGTTCCCACTTCTGTGGCAAGCAGTCTTGAAGAGTTGATTGGGTGAGTCAGGAACTCTGACCTCTGGATCTGGCTCTGCTAGAAGCTGACTGACTGGGTTTGTGAATTTTCTAGAGCTCAGTTGCCCCAGTTACAGAATTCTGGGTTAAAACAACAAATCTTTGACATCTCTTTTATGTCAGCCTTTTTCCTTTGTGAGAATGGAAAATATGGACACATCAAAGTCAACATAAAGTTTGGGGATAAAACAAGTGATAAAATTTTTGTATCCTCAGAAGCTAGGGTCAGACATACGTGATCAGGGGACTTACACTTGAGTCCATCTTCCAGTGTGAGCTGGTGGCGTGAAAAACTAAGACCCAGTATTGGGATGAGAAGTCATTGTCTGTGTTATCTTCTCCATCTTTATGCTCACAATAATGGTGATAGTAAGGGAGAGGTGGTCACAGTGATGAGTGTATTGGAGGTAATAGGTGTTGTACTGGTTTTCTAGGCAGTCATAATAAAATAAAATAAAGTGAGAAGATGAAAACAACAGAAATTTATTCTGTCACAGTACTGGAGGGTTGAAGTCCAAAGTCAAGTTACTGGAGTGTTTGTGCTTCCTCCAAAGCCTTTG